ATTCAGATTCTGAAAATGGGTCAGTGGAAGTTTTTAGTTGTCAGTACAAAACTAGATCATCAGAAATCACTTTGTGATGAGTTGTAACCACAAAGTGTACATATTTATTCACCTGTTTGCAGATGTTCCTTGTACAACTTTATAAACAAATAACGGGGACTGTGACATTTCACGTCTTGTTATTTTAGTGTTGCGAGTATTGGGTACCAAAAACTTAGTGAAGTACATTACAGTCGGCAAGGTGACGAGTGTCATATTGACTGCAAGGAAAATCGTGATAAATTTAAATCACACGATGCAATCGTCATTCGGATACAACATAATTTGAAATGAAACTGTTCTTGTTATAAAATTACCTTTTTTTTCGCTTATTTTATTTGCTGGTAAGAGAACAGATTCAGATTCCTCATTTCAGTGGTATTTTTCTGTGTTTCGTTTAGTTTTAGCCGAGTCCGCCGATCCCATGCCCGGACAATTAATACATGCAAAACACACGTACGCAGCCTAGTGCGTCGGCGTTGTCGCCTGTCATCTTGATACAAAGTTCCAAAACAAGTGCATACATTTCCAACTATGATTGTGGTGGCGTTGGTCTGGTAAAATTTGACATAAATTTTCAAAATTAAATCACGATCAGTGACCTGAGCTTGATCTATACGTACTTTAAAAGTATTCTCACAAAAAATATTTTCGAATAAAAACAATCCACATGCCCTGTCAAAATTGAAAAGCGCTTGACATGTAGAAATAATTTATTGGGCTTCAGAAAAAAACGTGTCCATTTAGTTGTAGCCGTAAATATTTGGTGACCAGCCGATGGACAATTTGAAAATCATTGACCCCAGTCTAGTTTAGCCTATTCCCCAACAAAAAAACTATGTGAATCGACGCCGGAGATTGGATGGTACGTACGACGACCCTTCAATTTGCGTCAAATATGCTTTGTTAGAACATCATTGATTGGCTGAGAGTCACCTGATTGGAGCACGACCTGGGTCACAGAACCATATTTGTCAGTATTATCAACAGGACTTTGCGAGAGAACCACACCCACATTTTCAACCATTTTTAGCGTGGAAGTTGCCAACAAATGTCGAAAAACTTTATGGATTCGAATAAAATAAAGCTAGCGATTGGTAAGACTGGTTAATATATCTCCCGATGCTCTTTGAATTTTTTTTTATTTCAAGGTGAGAAATGAATAGTTGAAGTTCCATCGATTAAAGGCGAATGTTTCACCGCGATATTCAACTCTACGCTCTGTTGTAGTTTCGCAAGGTATATAAAAAAATATAATAAATAGTACTTGTTTCATTATTTGGTTTTACAACCCCCAAATAAGAGACATGATCCCCATGAATTACGATAAAAAAATGCTCATTGTGTTGAATGACAGACGTTGGGACCATTTGGAGAAACCAACGGGGACACGATCGGCAGACATTTCAAACAAATGAAATTATTAACGTAAGATTTTTCTAGATATTTACGAACATACTGTCATACCAAATACAAGTATATCCAAAATTGACAAATACACAAAGAGGTGTAATATTAGGTTTTATTTTAGCCTTAGAAATATTTTCTTTCACTCAGTCCATGCATAGGACTTCTATTTAGCTTCATGGTCCTTCGACTTGTCTTCTTCTTGGGGGGGGGGGGCAACAATAATTATTCAAATCGTAAACTCCACACAATCAGGAAAAGATCCAAACCCAGACAACCATGTTGTACTTCTGTTGAAAGACATTTTGTAGCTGTGCGTCATGTCGGAATATTGTCTAAAATATTCAATCCCAGCCAAATCTAGGTCAAAGGGTCAGATTGCGTGCATATAATTATAAATAGTTAAAACAAAAAGTATTTGAACTTTTGACTGTTGTTCAACATCTACGAACGGTTACTAAATTAGTAACCGTGATTTATGAAAACACAAAAGATTTTAATTAGTTTGATGAAGCAATGCTGATGCCACATTGTCACCATAATGAGGCCACAATGAAGCGAAGCGATAAACGCCTAACATTTGCGAAGGTGAAGCCATAACAATGCCATAACGATGTGATGCTGAAGCGAAGCTGACGCTGAAGTGAAGCCAAAGCTTTCGCGAGAACTGTACTGTACATCAATTGGTGTAACAGAAGGGAGATTGATCATCTCTGTTCCTCTATTAGCGAGGTAGCCACATTTTTTTCTTGTATTTATTTAAACAGGGAAAATATATATCGACGATTCTACGACCCCCCTCTTGAGGCCATGGGAGAGGTAGACATGAAATCTGTCACTATGAAAACAGTTTTTTTCTTGGCTCTGGCTCAGGTAGGCGGCGCTCAGAGATTGGAGCACTGTCCTTCATGGACGGATGTGCCTCCTTAATGAACTCGCAGGTTGTTTTGAAGACTCAAATAGGCTTTCTTGCCAAGAATCCCAGGGCGTGATCCTGAACTGTTTGTCATCCCGCATCAGTACTAGATGTTAATCGTTACACTACTCACATTTTCTGCAGTGGTGCAGCCACAACAGCTGCCAACACAACCAGACTGGTTGATCAAGGCAGTGACGCCTACGCGACCTACATTCGCACTACCCCCCCCCAAGCATCACCCGCTCAGTTCTGGGTCACTTGTCCAACAGCTGACTCCTCTGCTATTAGCTGTTATAGTATCTTCATTGGGGCTTCGCAAACCATTGATGGGTCTCTGGTGTGAGATACTCATGCAGTACCACAGCCTGTTCCACAGGTTCCCTGTCCCGATCACAGTCCCCATACTTTCTTTAAGTTGGGTGGTGCGGATCGGTAAACCCACGTTGCGTGAAAATATGACCAGCACCAGTGCCTACAAGTGCAACAGGCTTTACGGGCAGAACTTAGACCCATCAATTATATTGAATGGGTTTCCTTGGCGTTAGAGCGTCAGCTCACCTTGCTAAGTTCTGACCATCTGAGTAACAATATCATGCAAGTCCATACTGCCCTTTTGGCAGGAGCTGTTTCGGTTGAGCGATAGGTAGTTGGTAGTCATTGCGCCTATCTTACTCCAGCGGGAGACAAGTTTGATCGCCTGCAGAAAAGGCCTTGGGGGTATGACCGGCTATTTGGTGGCTGGTTAACTGATGCAGTGAATGGTTTGGCGGTTGCTGAGGATCAGCGTATCGACTTGAAGAAATCGTCCCTGCTGGTCAAGGTGGCTAGTCCTTCTGGTGAACAGTTCAAATCAAAACCGCAAGGTGCCTCACCTTACCACGGTAAGTTCTCGCTCGGGACCACAACCGAAGGGGCAGACAAAGACTAGTAGTGGGAAGCGTCAGAAAAAGCCCAAGAGGTGTGGCTTTGGTTGTTGGCGTTCTGACACTTCGGGGGCCAAGGGGCCCCCGAGTCTCTTTCCAGGTTTTGCCGGCTGCCTGGACATAGATGAGGTATGACTCCAGGTCTCCCTCGGAGTCCTCGGCTCAGTCTCATCGTCTTCGTCCTCCCATACTGGAGGCTGGAATTCGGGAAGCACTAGCTCCTAACCCCCGTCTGCTCCTACCCTTGGGATCGCGCCTTATGCAGCACATACCAGTTTGGCGCAGGAGAATTTCCGATCCCTTGATGCACGCAGTGTGTCGCATGTCGCATGGGTATCGGATTCGGGTCTTCTCCTCCTCTGACTTCTCATACTCCCTCAGGTCCTTTGCTGAGGGACGAGGTCAAGGAGGAGACGATCCGACAGGAAGTAGCAAGCTTTCTGGAGAAAAGAGCGATATGACTAGTGGATAACCCCCATTTATTACCAGGGTTCTATTCCCACATCTTCCTCGTTCCCAAGAGTTCGGGGTGGCGTCCAGACTTAAGTCTGCTAAACGGGTTTGTGGAACTCAACCACCTCCGGTGAGCAATGCTTACTTCTACATTCCCATTCACCAGTCATGCATCCGGTATCTCAGATTCTCATTAGAGGGCAATATTTACGAGTTTACGGCACAGAACGCACAGAACTTGGCAATGGGAATACCCCTAGATCCGACGACTACCTCGCTGACTCTCATTACAGATGCGTCGCTCCAGGGATGGACCACCACATCAATTGGTTGGAGTTGCAGACCATCCTACTGTCTCTGAAACATTTACAGGAAGTTGCACGATCCTGCTTCGGACCAAGTGGAGTTATCCGCTCACCACCTTCCGGTGATACAAAACAGCACTGGGATACCCTTTCAAGACATATTCGGTTCCTGAACACTGAGTGGCAGATCCCCTAATGGGTGGTCGGTCGACTTTTTCTCCTCTGGGACGGACCCCAGATAGATCTGTTTGCCATTCACTGGAATGCCAAGCTCCCAACATACATGTCACTCCTCCCGGAGATAATCGCTTTCGTCTCATGGATGCTTACGACTTTCCTTCTTCCAACTGGTGCTCTAAGTGGAGAAGTTATGACTCGAGCCCACCTGCCTTCTGACTTTGGTGGCGCCCAATTGGCCAGTGAAGGTCTCGTTCCCAATTTTGCTGGAACTTCAAACTCCATGCCGCTATAATTCTCTTCACATTTGTTCGTCTTGCCACTCTGCAGGCTCTGCCACTAGCCACCGCAATACCAACCCAAAAAAACCAGCATCTTACTGAGGCGCATGATTTATATCAGTATGATAGCCACCAGCCTTTTTCAAGTCATAACATTCACTGACGAAAATCACATGACATTCCATGGTGGTGTGACTTCTTGCCATCATAGAATGGCACAGCATCTCTCCTCAACCCAAACTGGATACCGTTCCCAGAATTTGAACTGTTCACAGTTGCCTCAGCAACTTGGCTATGGGGCATTCTACAAGGGTAATTGGTTTGCAAACATCTGGCCTTCATTTATTACAAATGACCCTTCATACTCTATTGCCTGGAAGGAACTTCTTCCAATTCTACTATCTTCCCTAACTTGGGGCCATTTGTGCTATGGTCTTTGAATACGGTTTCACTGCGATAACATATCAGTCGTCCAATATGAAAAAAAAGGCTCCTCATCATGTCCATGGATTATGCAACTTGTTCGACTACTGTTCTTTACTGCAGCATCTAATAACTTTCATGTCATGATCTCACATATCTAAGGGTTTATTCACGGTATCGCTGACTCTCTCCCGCCAACAGATATTGCAGAAGGTTCTCAACCAAAATGGCAAGATGCAGACACGTAAACCTCGAACACCAAGCCTGCCACTACATCAATCTGAGCGTTGCCCCTGATGATGATGGACATATCATGTGGAACAGTAAAGGATGAATCCTTATCCACTAATGCAACGTTCAACAATTCTGTCTATTACACATCTTGCATCATCGTCACTTACCTATGACACGCTACAAGTTTACCTTGCAGCTATCTGTGCACAAGTTGAAGTCGACTTCATGTCATCGATACCTGATGACCTGCTTCTTCATTTCACTATGCAAGGCATTAAAAGACATCACAGCTAGCACTCCTAATCGTGTAAAACTCCCAATCACCATTGGATTAATGCGAATTCTTAAGGACACCATCTCATACCATCCCACTAGTTGTAACCATGACAAAGCTATGTTGTGGTCTGCCTTAACACTGGCGCCATTCTTCGCCTTCTTGAGAGTCAGTGAATTTGTTGCACCCACTTCAATCACCTTCAATCCACAGTGCATTTTACTGACCGCATACATCACTTGTAACAAAGATCTCGTGGTGCAGCCTCAACAGCTGTCAAAGCAAATCTTCCGGACTGGTTGATCAAGGCACTGGGCAGATGGCACAGCGACGCCTACCAGATCTACATGTGCACACCCCCAGCATTGTCCGCTCTGTTCAGGGTTACTTGTCCAATTGCTGACTGCTCTGCTATTAACTGTATCTTCATCGCTGATTTTGTGATTTCATTCCATTTAGATACTAAGAATAATAATTTTTCTGATTGTATTTTAAATAAAAAAACACTACATCAGTGAACATTATGAGTAAAAATAACAGAAAGGTTAATCGAAAGAAAAATGGTCTGCCCTCTTGAAACCAGTTCATTAATTACGCTTTCCAATTCGTCAGAGAATTTAGGAATCACAAAATATGTTCTTTAAAGAATTGAAGAATATGATATCAGCAAATGTTATGAACTACACTAAAAGAAAAGTTTAATTTAAGCATTCATTATAAAAAGAAAATTTGGCTGAAAAAGATTCCACAAAATTATAGACAAAGTTGATTGCTAAATCGGCCATTCACGGCGTAGAAAGAGAAATTGATCATCACATGACGACGCAGGATGTCAAACATGTTTGCCGCAGTTGCATGTCCCTTCTTTTATAGTGTCACAAGTATTGTGTTGTGTGTATAATAAAAAAAATGTTCATACTACCATAAATATATTATTTTACCAGAAATTAATATTTTGGACCTTATCAAATTACCAATGAGTCTTGTACTTGATTTTTTTAAATTACTCTTTGCATTATGTCAAGTTTAGATCAAGATCTGGTGAAATGCAATTTAATAGGAATGATTATTATTATTATACTTTATTTCAGACTCAAAGATCCATAGAGAAATTACATTGGAAATAGCATTATTTATAAAGATGCATCAACCTTGGGAGTAAATCACTGTTTATACAACTATTGTCATTGAAACAATCGCTGTTTAATATTGTACAAAGATTTTTTATGTAGTGTTAAAAATATTTCTAGTGACACAATTGCCGCTTACACTGCTCGACCTCTCTATTTCAAAAATCAACTGAAATGCATTGTTGTAAGCTACATGTAAAGCAGGCAACTGCTTTTCAGTGTAATTGCTTCATACATATATATACTATATATAAAACTGAGCGGGAACGAGTACATTTCACATGTTCTGAACTCAAAATAAGATTTGCCCTTGCATAAATTGAACTGAGTTGTCTGCGCATGTAAATAAGTTCACCTGATCAATCTACCTCACCTGTGTATGCTAATGCCAATCGCATTTTCATCACATCCACTATTATCACATAAATTTACATTGCGTGTTCACATTATGTATACTATTCTCCAGTTTCTGCCGTGCTGGTAGTTTATATTGTACGTATCATAAATCATTTTTGCTATGGTTGTCACTTTTGTCTTTCTTTCCCATTTCCCTGTTCGCCCATTCAATTGACTATATATATATTATTTTAAAGAAAAAATGGCTGGTATGAGAAACTCATTACTCATGCTATGTTCAATTTAATGCTGTCAGTCAGCGCATGCAAAATATACTGAAACTGTAGTAGTCCTGAGAATAATTTAATGTTTTATCCACTAGTTGTGAATTAGCCAAACTAGTTTGCGTATTAAATGAGGACAATGATAAGACATATATTAATGTTAATGTAAAGTATTACATAATGTACACACTTTTGGTTAGAGCATGCTGATTCACTGTTAGAGGTCATTAGGTGACTGGTACTCATACTACGTGTATGTGCTAGTTATATATGGCCACCTTTATATAACCTTCCATTTAAAATAGTTGTTGTTCCAAAAAGTGCCCAATCGAATATAAATACTCAATGTAATGAGAACCAGGAATGAACAAAAAGCTATTTTTCGTTAACAATTATTAAAAAAAAAATGTAACTGTGTATTCAAAACTAAAATTCCACAACAGATGCCTATAGTTATATCTTCTGTGGCAATTTGAGATATATTTCCTTCACACCTTTGCCTTTGATATAGTTTTTTTTATCCCTAATCCAAAATCCTGCTTACCAGTACTTTGACTACTGTTTTTCATTACCTACTTGCTGCTAAGTGTTGTGGTGCTGGAACTCAGTTTATTAGTAATGCATTTGATAGTTTGGACGTCTTGAAAAGATTTACACTGTTGTATTATATAGTCATTCAACACCTAACTTGTGAAACTGCAAGTTCTCATTACAATGTAGAGCATCTATTGCCAGTTATTTGGCGAGATTATACATTCAGTCGCGTGGCTACTTTCTTACCAGAAGAATATGTTCTCACCTTTGAGGAGTGAAGATAATTTTGCTCTAATCAACTGATCTGTTCCTGCACAGTTCTAACCATCCTTCTTCACTGTGAACTTTGGCGTCATATTTTAAGTATCTGCCTTGAGGGATTTGTGATTTATGGGACCATAAAATGTTGCTCATGTGCGAACCAGGTTGGAAGGCTGAAGGCAAGCGCTCTAAGGCTGGTAGAGATCACGGAAAGAAGGGGAAATCCCTTACTGCCGCTAGCCCTAGTGTGTCAAATTATATAAGTGAGAAATCTTTCCCTACGCTTGGTAGTCACTGCGAGGCTCGCCTCCAG